TCAGTGGTCTAAAGCACCTACTTGAAACAAGCTTGGCAAAACACAGGGACTGTGGTTCAATCCCCCAGCACCACATGCCAGCCAGCCCTGCCCCCTGGTGGGCTGAGCTGGCCACACACACACACACAATAAATAAATGTAATAAAAATAAATAAATAATTAAAAAAAAAAAACGAATTCATTGCTTTTTCTTTCCTTTTTGTGGTACTGGAGGTTGAGCCCAGAGCCTTCACATTGAGCTGTGTCCTTGGCCCTTATTCTATTTTGAGATAGGTTCTTACTAAGTTACTGGGCTGGGCTCAAACTTTCTGTGTCTAAAGGCTCAATTAGGATCTATGCAAGGAGCCACTTTTTTTTTTTTTTTTTTTTTGCGAAAACGGGGATTGAACTCAGGCCCTTGCGCTTGCCAGGCAAGTGCTTATTCTACTGAGCCATCTCCCCGGCCCCTTAGGCTCAGACTTTCATTGTTGCTGGGATCATAGCCACGTGCCACCTCGCTAGGTTCATTTTCTCCTTTGAGTTTAGTTAACCTTTTAAGTGTCTTCATGTGTTACTGCTTAGCATAAAGTAAGATTAGGATCCCGAGTTTGATTGGTTTCTCCGTACTTTGGTGCCCTGCACTATTATTTCAGTCTTGGACAGGCTGTAGTATGGCATAGCGCGTCCCCATACTGCCCTGGATGGTACAGCCCCCGGCAAGTTCCCTGCCACCTAGCACTCTGCATTGTTCAGCCATGCCGCTTGTCAGGGAGACGCACAGATGTCTCTCTGTCCCACGTATTAGAGCACGTGTTCATTTCTGTCTAGGTGTGGCCTCCATCCTGTGTCTTTAAGGAGAGTTGATGTCACAGGCAGGCCCAGGCAGGATAGAACAAACTCTGCCAAAAAACCTAAGTAACTGGGTAAAGGGAAGGGGAAAAAGACTGCGGTGTGTTTCATGCACGTGCCAGTTCCCTACAGTGAATGTAATTGCTGAGACCCTCAGTGCCAGGCAGGTGCTGTATGCCGAGTCACACCCTCAACCAGAGATGCCAAGTTTCCAAACTAAGTAGAGTCATTTCACACGAACTACTTAATTATGTCTGATTGAGCAGCATGGTGCAATGAGGATCGTTAAATATGCTGTACTAACTTTTTGATAAGCTTTGATTATAACAGTTAAGCCATAGGCGCAAATGTTCAGTTTTCATGGGTTATCTTTTATGTAGTTTGGTTTTCTACTCATGCAACCTCTAAAAACAATTAAAGCCATTGGCTATAATTCACTTGTCTTACCTTTTAGTGACCTTTGGGGCGGTTGTAGGATTTTCTTTTTGCTTCTGCTTTGTGAATGTACTTGTTACAAAAAGAAAGTATTAAAAAAAAAATTATTATATTTATATATATATATATATATCCTGTGCTTTCTTTATTTCCAGGTTTTGTATGCTGAAGCTTCTCGACCAGAAGAAAGGACCTCCACAGTGTCCGCTGTGTAAGAACAACATCACCAAAAGGTCTGTGATTTGGATAATGATGGGGCCTGGATGTGAAGGAGAAATGCTTGGCTGATGTAGCAGGTGTCCTCGCCACTCCTCAGCAGAAAGAACAGAAGTGTGCCTAGCAGGCAGTGAATTCTGTGGTGGTTTTCCTGAAAGTTTTGGGGAACACGTACACTCTGCAGATGTCAGCACCTTTGTGTCCCTTCCTCTGTCTGTGCAAAACCAGCCCCAGGCGATCCAGCTTGGTGTTCTCCTGCGGGGACACTGGGCTTCTGGGTACAGTGGCTAGAGACATTGCCACCTTTCATGTTTCTGGATGATACCAGGACTGAAGTCGTAGAGAAAGTAGGGCTGATCGCCTTGTGCCCACTGGCTGCCAGTCCTCCTCTTCTCTGTCGTGGCAGCTTTTCTGACCCGCTTCACCCCACTGTGCATTTCTGTCCTGCATATCTCGTCTGCCCCGGTGAGATTCTGTGGGCAGTTGCTCTGCCTCAGTACTGTTTCTCTGGTGCCTGGAGCTCAGTAGGTGCTCAGCTGCTTATAGGAATGGGTGAATTGTGTTTTCCTTCCACTTTCCTTACTCATATCTCTCCTTGGATGCTGTTGTCTGTCTCTTGTTTGATTTGGTGGCAATCCCGAGAAGCAGAGGCAGCCAAGAGGGCTTATGTCCACCAAGGCCTCGAGGCATTAGGAATACTGCATTAGGAAGTATTAGGCTTCTGATAGACTTACACAGATGGCAGAGAACTACAGAATCAGTCCGTCCTGCCAGTGTACACTGCAGTCAGTGTCATCACAGTTATTGAGTGGGGTCACTCATAGTTCTATTACTGTGAGCATGGTTCTCTGCGGTGGCTGCAGGGAAAAACCGAACCTTGTGTTTCTTTAAGCACCTTTCCCCACTGTAGTGTCCTTTGAAAAGTTGATGGTCACTTGCTAAGTGCGACTCTCTTACAATTTAATTCCAGAAGCCTGCAGGAGAGCACAAGATTCAGCCAACTGGTTGAAGAGTTGTCGAAGGTCATCCATGCTTTTGAGCTCGACCGTGGTTTGCAGGGTGAGTGTCACCAGGCCCAGCTGTGCACTGGCCCTGCAGCCTGAGACGTTTGTGCTTGTTGCCAGGGTGTAGGTAAGGATGGCCTAGGGTGATTCCAGCTCTGCCTCTGGTGTCTGTTTTAAATCCTTCCCATCTGTCTCGCCCCTTAGTCATCTCAGCGTCTCTGCAGTCAGGAGCACTTTACCACCAATGGTCAGTTTTCTATGTAGTTCTTCCATAATGCACAGAAAACAGCCCTGAGCTTTACATTTGTTGTTGTCTTAGATTCAGTGCTATATAGTATTAATAGGCAAGTTTATGAATTTTAAAGTTGAAGAAAATAGAAATAACTGACAATCCGTGTGTGTGTGTGTGTGTGTGTGTGTGTGTGTGTGTTTCTTAGGAATAGAATTTCCATCATTGCTTTAAAAAAAAAAAAGCCATGGGTAATCTGAATACCTATAATAAACATCCTAACACAACAAAGAGCACAAACAGAATTTTTTTAAGTTTCTTTAAAGAAAATGAGTACAGTTTTCCTAACTATACAGTGTGTTCCCTTGTAATTCACAGTTACAAACAGTTACAGTTTTTCAAAAAAGGAAAGTAATTCTCCTGAACATGTAAAGGAGGAGATTTCTGTCATCCAAAGTATGGGCTACCGAAACCGTGGCAAAAGACCTCGACAGAATGAACTTGAGAACGCCGCCCTGGTAACGCATTTGCATTCCATTTGTCTGACGCCATCTCTTTTTTAAGCAGTGAGAGTTGGAAAACGTATTAGGTGCTCACAGTCACGTGAAAGGCCAGTGAGGACGGAAGCAGTAAGCAGGTGGACAGAGCTCTCCTCAGTAGGAGTCTGAGGTGCTCCGGGGGAGTGCGGCTGTTATGGACAGGAGGAACTGAGGGCCTCCCCGTGCCCAGGCGGCAGCTCTGATGCATGTCCAGAGGAGCTGTGGCATTGCTGCCCTTTGTAAGCATTAGCGAAAGGTGTCATCGTTGGGCCCTGGAGGTAGCTCAGCCGCTTAAGCGCCTTCCTGGCAAGCGTGAAGTCCTGAGTTCAAGCTCTGGTACCAAAAAAAGTATAATTGTCAAAGAAAATTCAGTGATTTGCTTTGCTGTTAGTCTTATATGAATAAAGAATGGAGGTTTTAAAATAGTTCTCAAGATAGGGGCATTCTTTTTTTAGTAGATATAGGTGGGCAAAATAGGAAGAGAAGCTTCAATAAAAATAACATTGGGGGGGCTTGGGGATAGCTCAATAGAATAAGCACTTGCCTGGCAAGTGCAAGGGCCTGAGTTCAATCCCTGGTTCCACCAAAAAAAAAGAAAAGAAAATAACATTGGGCTTTTAAATATTCAAGGGGGGGCTGGTGAGATGGCTCAGTGGTCTAAAGCACCTACTTAGAACAAGCTTAGCAAAGCACAGGGACCGGGCTGGTGAGATGGCTCAGTGGTCTAAAGCACCTACTTGGAACAAGCTTGGCAAAGCACAAGGACCGCGGTTCGATCCCCCAGCACCACATGCCAGCCAGCCCCACCCCCTGGTGGGCAGAGCTGGCCACACACATAAATAAATAAAATTTAAAAATAAATAAATAAATAAAAATAAATAAATATTCAAGGGCTGGGGATGTAGCTTAGGATTTGCATGCTTGCCTAGCATGTGCAAAGCCCATAGTTCTGTCCTCAGTAGCATCGAAAATCCCAAGCAGAAATACTCATAAATGTTCTTTCCTGTGTGGGAACAGAGGGGTTTATTGCCATCCTTTGTCTTTTTTTCCCTCCATGAGACAAGGTCTCTCTGTATTTTAGGCTGGCCATGAACTCCCTATATAGCCCAGACTGGCTTAAAACGCTGAGTAACCCTTCTGCCTTAGTAGGAGTGCTAGAGTTACACTCCTGAGCCACCACACTCCGCTGTGCGCATGCATGTGTTTCACTGTGTTGTCTAGGCTGGCCTCAAACTTGCAGTTCTCCTACCCCAGCCTTGGGCTTCCTGAGATTACAGTTATGCAGTATCACACCCAGTTCATTTGTCATTTTTGGGTCATTTTTTGGGTCATTTTTGTCTTAGCTGCCAATCCTTTTGTTGGATGTGATTAGAAATATAGTAAAGGGCTAGCCAAATAGCTCAGTGGATTAAAGTGCCTGCTTAGACAGACGCGGGCTGGGCTGGGTTCAGTCCTCAGGCCTGATCCCAGGGCTGGCCCTGCCTGAGGGCATGCATGCCTGTAATCCCTGCACTTGGGAGGCTGTAAACAGGAGAATCAGTGAATCCAGTCTACATAGTGAGACCCTGAACACTGTAAACTCTTCCCTAAATACAGAAAGAAAGAAAAAAAATATGTTTATATTCAAGTGCTGGGCGTGGTGTCACATGCCTAGAATCTGAGTCCCAAGAGGCTAAGGCAGGAGGATCAGGCTGAGGCAAGAGAATTGTTGTGAGTTCAAGACCAGCCTGGGCTACAAAGTGAGCTCAAGGCCAGCCTGAACTGCCTAGTGAGACCCTGTCTCACACACACACAAAGAAAGAAATATATTCACCTATTATATTTTAATACTTAAAAAGTTATACATAATACACAATTTGGAAAGTTTTTAAATAATAGGAAAATTACTGAAGCTATGTGCAGCCTAGACATTTGAGGGTGTGCTTTGCCAGGTATTTTTCCAGTGGTCCTGAATTACAATTGACTGATAGCTTTGCCTGTGGCCTGGAGCTGCTCTTCGGGAGTGAAGCATAGAGCCAGCCACAAACAGGTGCCCATTCTTTGCTGCTTCGCAGGAAACCGGTCTCGGAGCCCAGCTGTCTGACCTTGGAATCACGGGGTCTTTGAGGACCAAGCAGCAGGCGCAGCCTCAGAATAAATCTGTCTACATTGAATTGGGTAAGGGCCCCGGGTTCCGTAAGTGCATGGTCTCAGAGCTTTGCTGAAAACCTCGGTCGTCTTTATCCACCTGGTAGGGAGTTTTGGGAAATAAGAACAAAATAGTTTTATGGGATCTGTAGTGAATTCTAAACAGTGGAAAAGACACAGTTTCTACCTTGGCAAATCTTACTTTGTAAAAGGAGCAAAAGAAAGAATATCTGGTTTTAAGTTCGGTGAAATAAATTTTGAGCAAATGGAAAGTAACAAGAAGGAAGTCCCATTTGGAGGGAGTCGGCGTAGACTGTACTCCACCAAAAGAGCTGAGCTCCGCACCCTAGCACGTCTAGTGCCTTGTCCCTTCGTGTTGGGATCAGTGGCCCTGGAGCTCCCACGTGCCACCATAACACTTCCTGGGTGGCATTGAAATTCAGAGAGGGCTGGGGAGATAGCTCAGTGGCTTAAGTACCAGCCTGGCAAGCCCAAGGTCCTGAGTTCGATCCCCGGTACAAAAAAAAAATCAAGAAATTCAAGAGGTGTAGCCACGTGGCCAGGTTAGGTAGAGAGGAGGAGCCAGGGGTTCACTCCTGGGTGGCTGGCGCCAGACCTGTGCCTCCGCCCGGGCCTCTGTGCTTGTAGATACGCGAGTGTCTGCTTCGTAGCAGGAACATGTTTTTCGTTTAACCCTCTCAATTACAGAGTTGTGTACTGATCTGTCTTTTGGGGGTGGGACAATTCTTTCAGGATCGGACTCCTCTGAAGACACAGTTAACAAGGCGTATTACTGCAGGTGAGGAATAAATAAGAGCCTTCATCAGTGCAGCTGGTATTTTCATGCTTCACTAATATTAAGGATTACTGTTTCCTAGATTAGAATCATGGTATTAGAAGAAACTTTCGAGATCATGTGCTTTCACCTCCTCATTCTGTACCGGAGCAAGTGCCTTGTTGTTTGTTTTATTAGCAGTGTTCAAAGGTGTGTAAGATAACAGTGAGCTCTTACACGCTGGCCTGTAGCAGGTGCTTTTTCTCTAGCTGAATTCCTCCTGTACAGTAGTGTTTATGCCACGGGAAGGGGCTGGTAAGAATGCTCAGGACTCTACCCCGGCGCTTTCCTTCCCCTGTCCCGTAACTTGCATCCTTCTCACACATATGAACTGCAGAGGGGCCTCTCAGCGGGTCACTGTTGGGCTCCTGGCTTGTCTCGCCCTTTGGAATCATTGCAGACCCTAAGATGTATCACTAGTGATCTGAACTGGGATGGTGCTGCTATCAGATTCTATTTGCAGATGGCTTTTCTCTAATTTTAGAATTGGAAGAAAGTTGCTGGGTGTGGTGGCATAAACCCATAATCCCAGCACTTGCTCAGAGGCTGAAGAGTGAGTTTGAACCTCACCTGGGCTCCCTAGCAAGCTCAAGGCCAGCTTGAACTACACATGAGATTCCCCCAAAACAAAAGGAGGTAGCTGCTAGCCAGGCGAGAGGAACGTAGAGCCGCGTAGCAAAGCTGAATTCTTGCAGCCTGTGGCATGCGGGCATGCGCACTCCCTTGCTAAGCTCTTTGCTCCTGCATCTCATTAAGATGCAAGTGTGAACGTTCTTCCCTTTTTTCAGTCACTTAAGTCTGGCTTTCATCCTCATATCCACAGTGTAACGCTCTACACTGCTGCTGTGGTTTCTGGGGCCATGTGTTCCCATTTTGACTAGAAGTTACTAGAAGAGAGAGCAGGTGCACTTGGGTGTCATCTGCTGGTCAGCTGCCATGGCCCCACCTAAGGAGCTTGCCCGGGACCTTGTCCTTCTCCCACTTGTGTGAGCACATAACTCATGTTCCCACTGTCTTCTTCCCTACAGTGTGAGGGACCAGGAATTGTCATTCACCCTGCGAGGAACCAAGGCTGAAGCCACTTCCGATTCCACAGAACGGAGTGACGGTGAGGCGTCCCAGCCTTGTGGGTGCTGTAGAGGGGGTGGGTCGGTCTAGTGCAAGGACTGGATTATTCTGGAGAGCCCTGGGACATTGCTAGTTCACATAGTCTCTTAAGAGTTAGAATGTGGCTGTTTCCCTGGGAGTCATGGACAGCATTCAAATTCCATAGAATAGGATGGGGATGAGTGTCCTACCCCGTGCAACTGGTGGCTGCCCTTTTTTTCTGAAACAAGGTCTCACTATGCGGTTCAGGCTGGTCTTGAACTTGAGGTAAACCTCCTGCCTCAGCCTCCTGAGTGCTGGGATGATATTTTTTACTGCTGTGTTTGTATTTCCTCTTTTAAAATTTTTATTTATTTTTTGAGCAAAGTAATTTTTTTACATTTAGTTTTACATTAACTCATTACATTAGTTTCACATTAACCCTCTACATTAAGTTTATTTTTTTTCTGTATTTTAGGGAAGGGTCTACAGGGTTTTCAGGGTCTCCTTACTAGATCGGACTCGTAGTGATTCTCCTGTTTACAGACTCCCAAGAGCTGGGCTTACAGGCGAGTGCCACCATGCCCAGCCTTAACTGCCATCTCAGCATGCCCTGGGATCCAATCCCTGCGCTTCCTTGCAGGTGCTTTAATCTGCTGAGCTATTTGGCTGGCCCTTTTTTTTTTTTAAAGCTTACTATCTAGGTTGATGCTTATAAATTGAACAATCAAGTAGCTTTGTTGCTAGTATTTAGAACCCTTAGAAAATGATTACTTCCTAGAAATACCTTATAGGTAGAGCCGGCTTTGGTGTTTGAGTCTGTTCCAACACCCTACCCCTTCAGTTCATTGGGGATTAGAAGTTGCTGCTTACTTAGCAGAGCCCTTATTCTTTGACACTGGTTCGTAGTGTTTTGTTTTGTTTTTTATAATCAGTACGTTGTACATTGTTACCTTCTTAGTGCTTATCCATAGTACAAGCAGCAGGCAGGATTTCCTGTCCAAACACTGTTAGTACACCTCTTTCTTCTCATTGAACTAAGCGAAAGTAGCTGTATATTTATCCTATTTTGTTTATATAAATACAAAATGATCTTTCCTTTGTATCCTTTTTTTTTGTCCTGTCAGAGGCGGATATTCTATTGGCATCTAAATACTAAGGTGTTTGAATTCAGCTAAACAATCTAACACTGTCTAGCAGTCTATAATATTAGTGGGTTATCCTCAGAAGTTACTGACATGAGCCTTTTACAGCTCATCGTATTAATATGGCTTTACTTTTTTTTTTTTTTTTTTTGCGGAACCAGGGATTGAACTCAGGCCCTTGCACTTGCCAGGGAAGTGCTTATTCCACTGAGCCATCTCCCTGGCCCAAAATGGCAGAAGTGGGTTTTTTTTTTTTTTTTTTTTTTTGCTCCGAATGCCTTCAAGGCATGACTGGCTGGCTTGTGTTGTGGGAATCGAACCACAGCAACCTGAGCCTGACTGCTTTGTGGAAGCAGCCACTTAAAGAACTGAGCTAAGGGGCAGGCCCCCGGCTTTACTTTATATACCACGTTTTTATACTTTTCTGCTGGATGGTTAAGAACAAGATAAAGCAAGACCTATATAATAAGAAATGTAGCTTTTGTATCTGATAAGGTCAGTCAGGTCCTCTCAGGATTTATCTTGTAGCCCTGTACCGCACTTTGTAGATCCTTTGTCAGTGTCAGCCATGAGGATGAGTCACGGCCATTGCTTGACATGTGTTTGTATTTCCTTTCTCCCAACTGGTTTTTTGGTATTCAGATCTTGAAACAAACAAACAAAAAAAAAAAAAAAACCAAAAATTATTTATTTATTTATTACAGGGTCTTGCTCTGCAGCTCAGACTCGCAGTCTTAGCCTCCCAGCACTGGGATTACAGGCATGTGCTACCACACCTGCTTTCAGTGGCCAGCATGGCATGCAGTACCAGGGGTCAAACCAGGGTCCTTATTATGAAGCAGGCGCTTAGGCTGCTGAGCTAGCTCCCCAGCCCCACAACTGATTTTGTATTGAATATAGGGTCTCACTACACAGATTGGATTTATAGTGATCCTTCCTGATTTTCAGCCTCCCAAAGCGCCAGGATTACAGGCATGTGCCACCATACCCAGTCTCAATTCCCATCTCAGTGCGCCCTGGGGGCGGGGCCAGCAAGGAAGGCTGGGGATTGAACCTCCAGCCCCTGCATCTACCTAAGGAGGAACTCTAATCCTCTGTGTTTAGTACAGGGTCTACAGTGTCTCACTACACAGATCAGAGTCATAGTGATCTTCCTGTTTAGAGCTTCCCAAGAGCTGGAATTATAGGCACACGCCACCACGCCCAGTCTCAGTGTGCCCTGGGGGTGGAGCTGGCAAGGCAAGCCAGCAAGACAAACTGGGGATCAAACCCCAGCCACTGCGCTCTGCCTAAGCAGGCGCTTTAGCCCGCTGAGCTGTTGGCCAGCCCTCCCAACTGATAATTTTTGGGGGTTTTTTTGGCTGGCTCAGGCTGCTTTAAGAGCAGTTCTGCTAAGGCAGGTGGAGGTGGGGATTTAACTGCTATATCCTGTGCCTGACTGGGTTTGCATGAGCAGGTGCTTAAACAACTGAGCTAACAAGCGAGCTGGGATTGCAGGTGCATGCCCAGTCTCAATAGCTGTCTCAGTGCACCCTGGGGGCAGGGCCAGCACAGCAGGTTCAGGGATTGAACCCCTGGCCCCGGTGCCTGCTTGCAGGTGCTTTAATCCTTTGAGCTATCTGGACGGCCCCCAACTGGATTTTTTTTTTTTTTTAATTTTTTTTTATTTATTTGTGTGTGTGTATGTGTGTGTGTGTGTGTGTGTGGCCAGCTCAGCCCACCAGGGGGCGGCCCCGGCTGGCATGTGGTGCTGGGGGCTTGAACCGCGGTCCCTTTGCTTTGCTGAGTTTGTTCTTAAGTAGGTGCTTTAGACCACTGAGCCATCTCACCAGCCCCCCCAACTGGATTTTGGATACAAGGAACATGAGAATGTAGACAGAACAGGGTGCTGTGTGTGCTTTAATTCACTCTTAGAGGTTAGGGGAATGAGAGTTATGGCTTATGCATAAGGAAAACTATGAAATTGATTTTTTAATTACCTTGTTTGGAAATCAATCTATGTAACTGAAATTATATGAAAGAATGTGAGCTACATCCTAAAAATGTAGGCTGAGCATGGTGGAGCACGCCTGTGATCCCAACACCTGGGAGGGTGAGGCAGGACTGCCTCAAGGAGTTCGAGGCCAGCCTGGATTACAGAGTAAATTCAAAGGCAGCCTCAACTACATAGTGAGAGCCTATCTCAAAAACAAATGAAAATGTAGCTGGTAGTTTGTGAAAGTAGTTTGTCTTAAAAAGCTAGTTGCTTGATTTCCACTCCCAGGTTGTAGTACTTTTTACTTTCTTAGTTCAGTGTTTGAGCACTTTGTTATTTTTGTATATTTTCAGCTGCTTGTGAGGTTTTAGACCGACTGCAGCCCAGCAGGAAAGCCACCAATGCCAGCGAGGAGCATGCCGGCAAGAGGCAGCCAGAGAGGCATCAGGGGAGCTCTGTTTCCGACTTCTGTACAGAGCCATGTGGCACTAAGACTCGCGCCAGCTCATTACAGCACTCAAGCAGCCGTTTATTACTCGCTGAAGACAGAATGGATGTAGAAAAGGCTGAATTCTGTAATAAAAGCAAACAGCCTGGGCTTACGCGGAGCCAGCAAAGCAGATGGGCTGAGAGCAAGGGGAGCTGTGCCGACACACAGGCTCCCAGCGCAGAGCAGGAGGTGGAACAGATCGCTGAGCCTCTCTGTGAGCAGGAAGAGCAGAAAAAGCAGAAAGCTCAGTGCTCAGAAACTCTCAGAGAGACCCAGAATGTGCCTTGGGTCACACTAAACAGCAGCATTCAGAAAGTGAATGAGTGGTTTTCCAGAAGTGACGAAATGGTGACTTCTGACGATGCCTGTGACAGGGACTCGGAATCAGATGCTGAAGAAGCTGGTGCATTAGAAAAACCAAAAGACCTACGTGACTTTTCTGGCTCTTCAGTGAAGACAGACTTGCTGGCCAGTGAGCCTCAGAGGGCTGTAACTTGTGCCAGTGCCAGAGGCTGCCCCAAAGCAGGGAAGAGTAGCGTGGAAGATAAAGTATTTGGGAAAACGTACGGGAGGAAGGCGAGCCTCCCCAGCTTAAGCCACTCAGCTGAAAAGCGACCTGTTCTCATGCTTGCTTCTGATCCACAGGTGACAAAAGAATGTCCCCTCACAAGTACAGTAAAGCGTAAGAGTCGAACCACGTCATGCCTTTATCCTGAGGATTTTATCAAGAAAGCAGGCTTGGCAGTTGCCCAAAAGACTCCTGAAAAGGAAACTCAGGGAACGAAGCAAATGGCAGAGAGTAGTCAAGTGACAAATGTTCCTAATAATGATCATGAGAATGAGACAGTAGGGGTTGCTGTTCAGAGACAGAAGAACCCCAACCCAGTACAATCACTGGGGAAAGAGTCTGTTTCTAGAACAGGAACAGAACCCCAGAACAGCAGCATGGATAGCATGGGACTAAACTTCAATGTCTGCCCCTCAGAAACACCTCAGGGAAACAGGCTGAGGAGAAGGTCCTCAGCCAGGCAAGTGCCTCGCCCGAGCCCACCAGATCACCCCGAACTGCAAATTGACAGCTCTACCAGCAGTGAAGAGATTAAGGGAGAAAGCTCCCGGCAAGTGCCGGTCAGGCGTGGCAGGAAGCTGTGCCTCGCAGGGGCCCTAGATGCTCCCATTGGAGCCAAGGAAGATAAGCCAGGTGAACAAGGAAAGGGGCGTGCAGGGGAGGCTGTCCCAGAACAGAAGTTAGCAAACCTACCCAGTTCTTTTACTAATAGTTCAAGCCCTGATAAACTCACAGAGTTTGTCAACAGAAGCCCACAGGAAAAAGAGGTAGAATTAAAACAAGGAACAGTTCAAGGATCTGGTAGTACCAGAGAGCCCAAAGATCTGCTATCAAGTGGAGAAAAGGGTTTGCAAACTGAGAGGTCCGCAGAGAGCACAAGCGCCTCCTTGGTCCCTGACACTGATTATAGCACTCAGGACAGCGTCTCCTTACTGGAGACTGACAGCCGCAAGAAGGCAAGAAGAGTGTCACATCAGTGTGTGGCTCAGTACGTGGCGGTCGCAAAGCCCAAGGACCTGCTGCCTGCTCATTCTAAAGATGCTGGAGATGGCGCAGAAGATTTTAATGATCCATCCAGACTGGAAGTGAGCCGCACCCGGGAGGCAAACACTGAAATGGAGGATAGTGAGCTGGATACTCAGTATTTACAGAATACGTTCCTGTCCTCGAAGCGTCAGTCATTTGTTCTGTTTTCAAATCCAGGAAACTCAGAAAAGCAATCTGTGACAGTTTGTGCCTGTGCTGAGTCCTTTAAGAGACAAAGCCCAGAAGTCACTCCTGGATTTGATCAAATAGAAGAAAGTCAGGGCGAGAAAGAGCCTAAAGTTAGATGTGTACAGGCAGTCACGAGTGCCACAGGTGCCTCTGTGCTTCCTCAGAATGACGGGCCAGGAGCCGGCGCCAAACATATTATCGGGGTCTCCAGGCTCTGTCCGTTATCTCAGGTCAGGAACACTGAAACTGAATACATCACTGCTGACAAACGTGGAAGGTCACAAAACCCATATCTCATGCTGTCAATTTCTCCTGTCAAGTGGTTTGTTAACAGTTCATGTGAGGAAACACATCCAGCGTCACCTGAAGACATGGGAGGAAATGAGAGCATCCTGCAGAACATGCTGTGCACAGACAGCTGCGGCCATAGCAAGGCGCACGCTGCTAAGGAGGCCGGCTCTGGCCCCGGGAGCAGAGCGCGCGCTGGCGGCGATGAGGTGGGCTCTCACGGTGAGAGCGCTCGAGCAGAGGTAGGTAGCGACAGAGCACACGAGCGGGACGCTGTGCTCACACTAGGGCTGCTGCAGCCTGCGGCCTCTGAGCAAAGTCTTCCCATCAGTAACCACAGATGTCTGGAGGTACAAAGGCAAGGGGAAAGTGGAGTCACAGTTCCAGCTGTCCTTGCAGATTTCCTGCCCTGTCGAGTCGTAGGTAATGCAGACCAGCCTGTGGGAAGGAGTCCCCCTTCGCAGATTTGTTCTCAGACTCCCGATGACCTGTTAGATGATGAGGACGGAGAGGAAGATACAAGTTTTGCTGAAGGTGACATTAAGGAGACTTCTGCTGTTTTTAGCAAAGGTGGCCCAAGAAGCCAGTCCAGCAGGAGCCCTAGCCCTTTAGCCTGCGCAGCCTCTGCACGGGGTCACCAAAGAAGGGCGAGGAAGTTGGAGTCTTCTGAAGAATACTCGTCGAGTGAGGATGAAGAGCTTCCCTGCTTCCAGCACTTAATATTTGGTAACGGAACCAAGATTCCTCAGCCTACCAGGCCTAGCTCCGCTGCAGCAGAGCGTGTGTCTGAGGGAACAAGGGGGAGCCTGGTGTCACTGAGAAACGGCTCTCGTGACTGCACACACGAGCCAGCATTGGCGAGGGTGTCCCCAGAACCACTGCTGGGCGAAGACCTCAGATGTTCGGGCAGCTTGTTCTCCTCCCAGTGCAGCGCCCCAGAGGACTCTGCTGTGAACATGAGCTCCCAGGATGGCTTCCTGATGCTGCACCCTCCTGCCCAACAAATAGGGCATCCCTCTGAAATCCTGGGGGGCATCCCAAGGGATAAGGACGGGGTCTCCAATGATGAAGACAGGAAAGCTGGCCCTGAAGAAGACAGTCACCACATGGGGGAGAGCACGCCGCCACACTTAGGTATTGGGGCCAGGTTGTGTGCTTGCCCCCAGCCTTCCGAGAAGCCAGCCAGTCGTGTGTGCCCACTGGGAGCTCTGGTTACGGGCTCTCCCCACTTGGGCTTCCCCTGAGGTTCTCTCCCAACTTGTCAGAAGCTGACAGCTGACTAGAACACTATCCTGATTGAGTGGCTTTAATGTTCTTCATGAGCTTGCCTCTGATTTTTAGTGTCAGGATTGACTCCTAAGGGGAAATGCCAGTGACCAAAAGCAAGGAGTTTGATCATTTTATGAAATGCAAGCAGGGCTGCCAGCTGCCGTGTCTCCGGCTGCGTCTACACCAGGGCCTCTCTTGCCATTTCAGGTGAAGCAGCATCTGCCTACGAGAGTGAAACAAACCAGTCTGACGGCTGCTCAGAGCTGTCCTCACAGAGCAGCATCCTAACCACCCAGGTACAGTGTGTCCGTGTGTGGCATCCCTGCTCCGTGTGCGCTTGACATGCTTACATCTGCTCATGTCTTCCTTTGAGTTGGGGGCATGGCAGATGTGCTGCTGCTTCTCAGGTGGGGTGAGAAGCACCTCGCTACCCTTTGTTTCACCCGGTAGCAAAAGCAGATGAAAGTATCACTGCGGAGAGGCCGGGGAGATGGCTCAGTAGAGTAAGTGCTTGCCTGGCAAGCGCAAGGGCCTGAGTTCAATCCCCGGTTCCGCCAAAAAAAAAAAAAGAAAACATCACTGTGTCAAGCAGGAGGTGTGGGCTGGGTGCAGTGCCGTGATGCACACCTGTAATCCCAGCAGAGAAGGAGGCTGAGGCAGGCCTGCATAGGCAGAGCACAGCAGCCAGGGTTCAATCCCCAGCATGCCTGGGCTGTGCTGAGGGCAATTGAGACGGGGCCTGGCAGCGCACCCCTATAATCCCAGCTCTCGGGAAGTTGAAAACAGGAGAATCATTATGCATCTGATCTGTGTAGTGCGATACTGTAGACCCTGTCCTAAACACATTTTTAAAAAGCCTCCATAGGGTTCTTTTTTTTTTTTTTGCAGAACCGGGGATTGAACTCAAGCCCTTATGCTTGCCAGGGAAGCACTTATTCCACTGAGCCATCTCCCCGACCCCCATAGGGTTCTTATTAATGCCCAGGTATCTTTTTTTTTTTTTTTTTCAGTATGGAGGATTGAATTCAGGTCTTTGCATTTGCTAGGAAGGTTCTTATGCCACCAAACTTTTCCTGGGCCCTTTTTTGTCTTTGTGACAGGGTCTTGCTATGCAGTTCAGGCTGGGCTTGAGCTCACTTTATAGTTAAGGCTGGTCTCAAACTTGCAGCAGTCCTCTTGCCTCAGCCTCCCAAGTGCTCTGGGATTTCAGTACAACCTATTTGTGTCTCCATATCCTACTTTATAAAATACACTTCCAAGTTCTGTTGTATTTTCATGTGTTTGTCCCACTGGTTGACAGCTTCTCACAGTTGCCTCTGCATTCCTAGCATGGGGCGCCGTAAGGACAGACGCAGCACTTGCTAGCAGTGGTGAGGTCAGCATTCTGTGGCCTTCGGTGAATGGGTGCATTTGTAGAATGGAGCTGGCTGGACCCCTGTGGGTCATCCCACTGTGGCCTTTTCTCTTATAAGGACAGATGAGTGCCCTTCTCTCCTGAGTTTGCTGAAGTCACATATGCGCATAGTAGAAAATGAGGAAAACACTGGTGCCTGCAATCATCCCAGCACTCAGGAGGCTGAGGCAGGAGGATCTCAATGCATACAAACCCAACGTGAACTACCTAGTGAGACTGTCAAAGAAAAAAGAGTCATCCATTGAAGAAGCTTGGGAACATGTTAACTAAGATAAACTGCGTATCATTGGACAAATTACATAATTCCACTTCTGTGAGGTACCTAGAATTCAGGGAAATGAAGAGAAACAGTGCTTACCCAGGCTTCAGGAGGGGAGAGCGGCGAGGCACCGCTTGGTGGGGGCTGATGGAATGTTCTGGAGAGGGCAGGCGCAGTGCCCACCTGAGTCCCAGCCACTCAGGAGCTGAGGCAGGAGGGTTGCAAGTTTGAGGCCTTCCTGGGCAGCTAGCAAGCCTCTGTCCCAAAATAAAATGAAGAGTGAGGGCTGGGTGTGGCTCACTGGCAGAGCACTGTCGAGTGGGTTCGGTCCCCAGTGAGAGGTCTGGAAACACTGCAGTGACGGTTACACGAGAGGGCAGTCCTTAGTATCACTGAACTATATATACTTAAAATACTGAAAGTGAGAAATTAGTTAAATTTTACCCAGATACTTCAAGTTTTTTTTCCTTTGTTGAGATGGGGTCCTGCCATATAGTTCAGGCTGGTCTTGAACTCGCTGTGTAGCCAGGCTGGCTTTGAGCTCTCAGCAGCTCTCTTGCTTCCGCCTCCCAAGTTCCGGGATGACGCCTGGCTCTATGTAACTTGTCGGTGTATCCTTCCAGTCTTCCTCAGCGCATGCATGTGGGCGTCGGCCCTACACTCTGTACCATGCCCACTTACATCTCGTTTTCTTATGTTCTCCCTCCCTTTTCTTCCTTCCTTGTACTAGAGAGGGAATCCAGGGCCTCATATAGTGATTAGCTTGAATCTAGACCCTCGTCTTCCTTCCTGAGCTATGCCTCAGCCCCAATACCTTTTTTCCAAGGCATTCAGATGTCACAGTCTTCTGGATGTTTCCATTGTAATTGAGTTCGGAGCATGCCGAAGTGCCGCAGTGCTCTAAGCCAAGCAGCACCCTGCCTCCGGGTAAACGGTGGCCCGCTCCACCTCGTACTGCATGCTGAGGCTTTCGGGCAAGAGGTGTTCGCATTGTGTGCAGCGCTGTACTTGCCACCCTGGGAACTAAGCCTTTGCCCCATCCCTAATGATTTTCTTAGTGTAAATTCCTAGCCTTGGATTTTTTATTTTTCATACAGTTGTCAGATTTGCTTTAGAAACATGAAGCCAGTTGGTCTCGGGCCCCAGGGTGTGTGATAGCTCTGGGTTCTGGGTGGTGTCCACTTTTAGTCTCTCTGGCCTTGCTTGCCCTTGCTCCTCTGGGGGCCTCTGCACGCCCACTGCTGCTCAGGGCCTCCTGCAGTCACGTGGTCCCCTTCCTCTGCAGAATCCATCGCCATGGTGACTCAGATGGGGGGGGTTCTTGTGATTGCTCTGATCTTTTGTGGATGTGGACTTGGGCTTTATCAGTGTCGCTGTCACCTAATTCTGTCCCTTGTGCTCAAAGGGTTTTGCTTCCAGTTTTTTATTCTGTCTGCCTTAGCCACACTGTTATGTTTGTCATTTGGTAACCACTTTTTGTGCCCCTGATCTTATCCCAGGAGTACACCTATTTGTTCAGGATGCATTTTGCAGTGTCTTTATCAAGCATCTGTCACAACCAGGGCTTACACCACCTGTGGGCTGGGCTCACACAGACCACGTGTCGAAGCAGGGTCTCTGCTGCTGGGCGTGTTGGTAGAGAACCCAGAGGGCAGAGGAGGTAGCGGGCCTGACCCCGCAGCAGTGGTGCTGGCCCTCTGCTGGAGACGTTCACTGGAGCAGCATGAGTCAGTTGCTGAGTACTTACGTCTGGGAAGAGACACACTCGGGTGGGGACCCTGTGTTCACCTGAGTAATGAGTAACCAGTGCGACCCGCAGATCAGAGGCGCCCTGCTCCTGGTGGGCACTTCCAGAGGAGACGTTGGGGGATAGGAGGAAGCAGCCGCTGAGGCCAAGGTGCGAGGCGTGGAGAGTACCGGGAATGCAAAGCTGTCCTGTGCTGCTGAGAATGGGGGCTTGGTCAGCCCAGGGCTTCCCAGTGTTGTGCTGAGGGATCTGGACTGGGGCGGGGTGACTGGTAGTGATGCAGAGGAAGGCGCGGCCGGCGCCCTGGAACTGAGGGAGAGGCCGCCGGCAGGGATGCAGCTGTGCCCGACCGGGCGCCCCGGGCGCCGGGCTTCAGGGCTGGAAGGGGGACGACTGTGATGCGTTTGGTTTGCTTCCCTAGTGTTTCAGGCCAGTTGGTTGCCTGTAGGGGCTTTAAGTTTTAAAGTAATTGCTTTGGGGCGATGAAGGCACGCTAGCTCTGCTGGTCGCCTTGCTGCTTCGGTTTCTGTGGGTGCCGGTGCAGGGTCAGCACATCCACCTTCAGCCGCGTCTGGGGTTGTCGCGCGGGAAGGGTGCTCCACGGTGTCGTTGCTGTCAAGTGCCACGTGGTGGCAGTGGTGGCACCGCAGGCTGGGCAACAAGGCTGGCCCTGGGCTGCCCTGTGCTCCTCCGTGAGACCAAAGAGACATTTTTCGGGTCATTGCTTGTTTTCAGTTGAGAGCAAAGTCACTGTCAGGAATCAACAGAAGAGTAAACAACCAGGGGAAAGGGTTTGTGTGTACACTTTCCCTCTCAGCTTACTGACCACGGTGTTTCAGAAATGAAGAAAACATATTGGAATCTTTTTTTTCCTTGTGGAACTGGGGATTGAACTCAGGCCCTGGCACTTGCCAAGGAAGCACTTATTCTACTCTGCCATCTGCCCAGCAAGAAAACATACTTGGAGGGGGCCTGCCCATTAGCTCAGCTGTTCAAGTACCTGCTTAAGCCAAGCAGTCAGGCTCAAGGTGCTCTGCTTCGAACCCAGTTTCTCACAGGAGACCAGAAATGCCCTCAAGGCATCTTGGGGGGGGGGGCTTGGAACACTCATTATCTGACGTTTTTTGGTACCAGGGATCGAACTCTGGACCTTGCACTTGCCAGGCAAGCGCTATCCACTGAGCTACCTCCCCATCTTTTTTTTTTTTTTTTTGTCTTTTTAAGATAGGGTCTTGCTATGCAGCTCAGGCTGTCCTTGAGCTCACTTTGTATCCCAGGCTGGTCTCAAACTCACAGTGATCTTCCTGTTTCAGCTTCCCAAGTGCTGAGATTACAGGCATTTGGCACCTCATCTAGTTACCTGACTTCTTTATCAACTCTTAGATGTAGTACTTCTCAGTAGTTTTTTGGGAGAGGTTTTTTCTTTTTCTTTTCTTTTTTTTTTTTTTTTTTTTTTTTGAGACAAGGTCTTGCTGGAAAGCTCAGACTGGTCTTAAGCTGTGTAGCCCAAGCTGGCCTGGAGCAAGAGTGGTAGTCCCACGTCAGCCTCCTGAGTGCGGGGGTGACAGGCATGAGTACTAAGCAGCAGGATGCCCAGAAGTAAGATGCGTGACCTTGAGCCAAAGGTAGTGCCTGTCCTTCAGGCTTTCCAGGCTCTGAGCAAGATTCCTCATCAGTGGCTGCTCCTCCATTGATCTGGGACCCTGTCCCTTCTCAAATGGCACTGTCAAGGCTGTGTTTTGCAGTGCTGTAGATTGGATGAAGGGTCTGCTTTGTGTTAGGCTTTTTGCCACTGAGCTGCCCCTTGACCTTTTACCTTTCGAGCCAGGGTCTCACTTTGTTGCCCAGACTAGCTTTAAGCTTGTGATCCTTTTGCCTCAGCCTCCTGGGGAGGGATTCTAGCTGTGTACCCCTGTGCCTGGCTACTAAACACTCATGTGATTTTGTAAGGAGTAACCTAAATGGCTGTGACTCTGTGAGCCAAATATTTGAAATAGCCTTTATAAAATGTTATCAGGCTGGTGCCAATTTGAAATATCAGTAGTGTTTAGCTGGGTGTGGTGCGTGTTTTTCACCTTTGTGTCTCTTACTGGGGTCAAACCCAAGGCCTCAACCCAGAGCCTCACGCGCTACATAAGTGCTCTGCCACTGAGCTGGACCTCCAGCCGCACTTCTGTCCCTAAAAGAAAAAGGCCATAAAGAAGTCTGGAAAGAGTGGAAGGTTTTCCCCTCCAGCCTCACTGGGAAATCGTCTCCAGACAGTGATTTCCATGAGTGTGGTGGGTTGAAGGGTGGGCAGCTGGAGCCCATGAGGCTGTGCATGCGGATTCCTGCTGCCACACTAAAACTAATTGCTGTGGCATATCACTTCAGATGCATTTGTCACACAAAGTTTGACTCCTTTTGTAGCAAAGGGACACCATCCAGGACAACCTGCTCAAGCTGCAGCAGGAAATGGCCCACCTGGAAGCCGTGCTGGAGCAGCATGGGAGCCAGCCCTCTGGCAGCTCTGCCTCTGTAGTGCCCGACTCTTGTCCCCTGGAGGAGATGCCAACCCTGGGATCACCTGTACCAGGAAAAGGTTTGTAATGTGGGCCATGTGCTGGGGCCCTAAGCAGAACTCTCCCCTCCCTCCCTCCCTCCCTCACTGCCTTCTGCACTGTGCCTACCTAACTCCAGCGTTTCCCAGCCTGTATTCAGTGTGTGTTTACTGAGCACCGGCACAGGCCTTTGGGAGGCCTTGGTCTAATCTCTGCTCACAGCTAGTGGACCTTTTGGTAGGACCTGGGGCAACCATCAGCAGTGTCTGGGATAGCACCTCCAAGGCAGAGACACCACGGGGCACCCCCAGAGGCCACAGGCAGTTCTCACCTGAGAAGTTGAGGTCCTACAACTGGCTGGTGGTGGCTAACCTCATCAGTTTAGAAAGCTGTGAAAGAAAGAAAATCTCAGCCAGACTTCTTACAGTGCTTTTGTCAGATCAGAGTAATATACTTTCTGTAAATCTATGTCAGAAACTGAACATTGAAAATTTTTTTTATATTTATTTATTTGTGGAACCAGAATTTAACTCAGGCCCTTGCACTTGCCAGGGAAGCACTTATTCTACTGAGCCATCTCCCTGGCCCTAAACATTGAATTTTTAAGTAGAGAGACATTAGGCAAGTTTTCATTATTTTTCTTTTTTTGTTTTTGTTTGTTTGTTTGTTTGTTTGTTCGTTTGTTTTGTGGAACAGGGATGGAACTCAGGCCCTTGCGCTTGCCAGGCAAGTGCTTATTCTACTGAGCTATCTCCTGGCCCCTTTTTGGTTTTTTTGAGACAGGGTCTCAGTATGAAGTTCAGGCTGGCCTTGAACTGACTATGTAGCTTAGCTTCCCAAGTGCTGGGATTAGAGCTACCTACCACCATGCCCAGCATAGGCAAACGTTTTGAAGGGGCAAACACTAGGCATGGTGGTGTACACCTGTCATTCTGGGAGTGGAACTGGCTGAGGCAGGAGTATCGTCACAAACCTGGCAATACCCTGTGTGGAAAAAGTTAATAAGTAGGGGCAACCATAATAGACATAAAAGAGAGATTACCTGTGTGGTGACACACACCTGTAATCCCAGCAGTCGGGCTGAGACAGGATCACAAATTTGAGCCTGGCCCGGACGGGGCTGGTGGTGTGGCTCAGTGCCAAGGCCTGCTCCGTCCCCAGTGGTGAGGGGGAAGAACAGCAAAAGGAGGACCCCAGGCCCCAGTGGGCCTTCTCAGGGCCCGAGCTAGCCCCTTCTCCAGTGCCTGTCAGACGTCCCAAAAGGAGCCAAGGCTTTCAGAACCTTCCAGAAACTCCAGTCTGTTCTTGACCAAGCACTGTGGCCTTATTCCCAAGTGTGCTTGATTCCTGTGTTCAGGAAGGAGCAGTGGCTTACACAGAGGAGCTGGGAACCCCGTTGCTATGGCAGCACATCAAGCTTATTTTCTTAAATGCTCTCTTTGTAAGGATGTCTTCATTTAGTTCATCCCCAGATATGAAGCGCCGAGTCCACCCCCAGTGTAGATCTGCTCTCTGGGGGCTCTGAAAACACACTGGACTTCAATTCTGAAGCACAAGCGAGGAGCTGTCGCTGGCTGGCTGTGCACATCTGTGTGGTCGGTCTCGTCTTACAATATGTTTCTTTGTGATATATATATATGTATGTATTTGTACAGAATCTCGCTACGCAGCTCGGCCTCATAGTGATCCTCCTCTCAGCCTCCCCAGCACTGGGTTTACAGGTGTGTGCCACCACGCCTGGTTTCAGTGATCAGCTTGGCACGAACCCAGGTCCTTGCATTTGCCAGGCAGCACTCAGACCACCAAGCTTCGCCCTGGCCCCTGTGCTTTGTTTCTGAAGTGTGTAAGTGTTGCCTTACTTCCAGCGTGTGGTGGAGGTTTTCCCCTTGAAATGAGTGATTTCTCAGTCCTAGGAGTGGGCTTTCTTCCCTCTGTGTGATGGGTGGATCCCGAGCCCTTCACATGCTACGCGCGTACTCAGTTGCAGAGCAACACTTCAGTCCTTTTATTCTGAGGTAAGAGCTTGCTGAATTCCCCAAGCTGGCAACCCAGATTTTTGATCTTCCTGCTTCAGCCTTTTGAAAGCTGGGATTAAACATGTCTGCACTGCCACATGCAGCCGAGACCCAGAGCTCTCAGATTCATGACAGGCCTGGGTGGTGATGCAGACCTATAACTCCAGCACCGTGGCTGGAGGCTGGAGGTTCAGCTCAAGCACAAGGCAGCGAGACCCTGCCTCGGAACAGACAGGTGGACACGGCCTGTTCATAGTGGCGTCCTGCTCCTAGGCATAGGTCTCTGTTTGAGGGCCGTTCCCACGCCCACTTGTTGCTAGGCTCAAACCCCTAAGCTCATGTATCCACCCCCATGGGTAACGCTGCTTCACACCAGATGCTCTGTCTCTGGGATTCCTGTCATCAAAAGCAAGGACTAGCATTGTGAGAGACCAAGGCCAGGTAGAGCAGCCGTGATTCCCAGACCCCTCTGGGCCTTTCCCCGCTAGGGTAGGTCTCATCCCAAGAAGCACTTGTTAGTGTCTAGGCTTTCTTGCCGCAGTCGGGTAGATGGGTTCTGTGCTCTTCCCAGCTGGCTTCCACCCCGGGCGCCCCGTCTCAGCTCATCATTCCCTGTGTGTTCCTTGCTTCCTCCCCGGTAGTTCTTCTTGGTTCTTCCCCCACTTGTGCACAACACTTACTGTGTCTTGGGCCCAGACCATGCTCCCTGCCCAAGAGATGCTCAGTGCGTGAAGAGCCCGCTGACGGCTCAAGGGCGACTTCAGTCCTGCTCTGCAGCCTGTGTCAAGACCTAACCCAGACAAGTGGATCTGGACCAGGCTTGTTGCTTGGAGGACGAAGTAAGGGTTAAAGAAGCACCTTCCGGGCTGCTTTTTGTTTAGTTTTGCCTTGCCCTCTGTGTACTTTGCTTTATTTACAGTGCTGGGGGTGAAACCAGGGCCTGGCACAGGCTGCATCTCCAGCTGAGGGAGGACGTTACTAGCAGGACTAGTGTGAGAAGTTCTCACTCTTCTCCCGCAGCTCTAGTGATTAGTACTGCCTGGTGTAATTCTTTGGAAGCTGCATTTCACCCTTTGTCAATTGTCATGCCGTTTGGGGAAGGGCGACACCTAGAGTGGGGTTACTTCTGCTGTCACAGCTGGTAGCTTAGGGCAGATTTTGTCCTTTTCCTAGAAGCTCAAGCCCAGGGAGGAGGAGCATAAAGGAAACTATAAATAATGCATTTTCAAGAAATCGATGAGTATTTTCCCCTGGCTAACCACCATCTTAAAAAGGAGTTTAATTAATACAACTTTTTATTTCAGTTTTCCTCATTTTATGGATTTTAGCTTTTATAATACAAAATGAAATACAATCATCAGTGCCTTTGTAACAGAAAACATTTATAATTGCTGTTTCTACTGTTTAAACATTTCTACCTAGACGACAGTAGCACATGTATTTGGAGGAATTATAAATAAAAAGAGGGCCGGGGAGATGGCTCAGTGGTGCTTCCCTGGCATGCGCGAGGGCCTGAGTTCAATCCCCGGTTCAAATAAATAAATAAATAAATAAATAAATAAATAAATAAATAAATAAATAAATAAATAAATAAATAAATAAATAAATAAATAAATAAATAAATAAATAAATAAATAAATAAATAAATAAATAAATAAATAAATAAATAAATAAATAAATAAATAAATAAATAAATAAATAAATAAATAAATAAATAAATAAATAAATAAATAAATAAATAAATAAATAAATAAATAAATAAATAAATAAATAAATAAATAAATAAATAAATAAATAAATAAATAAATAAATAAATAAATAAATAAATAAATAAATAAATAAATAAATAAATAAATAAATAAATAAATAAATAAATTAAATTAAATAAATGAATAAAAATAAAAAGAGGCAGACCAATGAGGCCTGAAATTTCAACTACTCTCATCTGAGACAGCAGGATAGTGGGTTCAAGCCCAGCCTGAGCAACTCAGCAGGACTCTTGTCGCATAACAAATTGAGAAGGCGGGGAACTGGCTCACTGCTGACACACTTCCCTGTCAGCATGAGTCCCTACCTGGGTTTAATCTCCACTACTGCAAAAATGAGTTAATTGGCAAAATAAGAATGTTCTAATGTGTCAGAACTTCTCCCAACTTCAGTCTTTTTTTAGCCTACTGGTGCACCTCACCATTTCTCGTTGAGACAAAAGTAGCACCCACAGGTTAAGGGAGGAAAGGTTTACTTAGCCCAGTGTGTGGGGGTTTCCATCCATAGCCGGCCGGCTCCAAGGCAGAGGGGCACTGCAGAGGAGAGACAGCCCGTGGCAAGCCCAAGGCGGCAAGGCACCAGGGGCAGCCACAATTCTTTCAGCTGCTTAAAACTTACCCAGACTACCCAAAATTTAGTAGTCATTGAGTGCTTTTAAAAATCCCTATCCTAGGCAGGTGTCACGCATGGTACATGCCTATAATCTCAGCACTGCAGGAGGCTGAGACAGAAGGCTCACAAGCTGAAGCACAGCCTGGGTGACGTGGGGATTGCATGAGCGCCGATCTGCACATAGAAAAGGCCCAGGGACGCAGCTCTGGAGGCTCTGGGCTTAGGCCCCAGGCCCACCACCAAATCATCAGGCTCCTCACCTGCGCTGTCTCCACCAGGACCAAGAAGTAAAGCAGCTGTCTTTGTTTTCTTGTCCTATTTGAAGCAGGGCTAGCCTCAGGAGGAGACAGTGAATACCTTGGAAGCCACCGTCCCCCGGCCCTTCCTGCAACCAAGTCCCAGGCAGCTCCAGATTGCACCACCAGTGAAGAGGAGCCAGGAGTGGCAAGGTAGGGAGGTCAGGTTTGGCGTCGAAGTGGCGCCTTTGCCACTCGGACCCTGGCGGTCTTTTCCTCCTGTACTTGCTGCAAGGTTCGAACACTAAGGTCTCGAGCCTTGAGCTGCTGCGGGACTCATCCTCTGTTTCCTGGGCTAGGGTTTTGGATAGTGATACAAGCCACAGCGTGAGAAGTGTTGGGGTAGAGCTGTCCTCCTCAAAGGTACAATAAACTAGAACTAAAGCCTGAGCAAGACGGGAGGCTTGTAATAGACTTCCCAATGGCAACCCTTATCTTTATGAAATTTTTCCCTGTCTAAAAAAAGTTTGTCTGTTGACTTAGCTCAGGAAACACTCAATATTGTTCAGGTATGTGCAAAGTATCAAATCACTATTAATATAAGACTATAGCAGCTAGGGAGATAGCTCAGTGGCTTAAGCGCCTGTCTCTCAAACACAAGGTCCTAAGTTCAATTCCCACTACCAAAGAAAAGCACTTTGGGTTTGGGGTGAAGTCAGGTCAGGTTGGGTTCTCTGCTCCTACTCCTGCTCTGTTCCACACAGGGCCTTACTATGTAGTTTGAGCTAGCGTTGAACTCATTACCCCAGCTGGCCTTAATTTACCATGATCCTCCCACCTCAGCCTCCAAGTGCTAGGATGACAGGTATGCACCACCATGCCTGGCTAAGAATATATAGCACTCTTAAACAGGTATGATGGCACACGCCTGTAATCCCAGCACTGGGGAGGCTGAGGCAAGAGGACAGCCTTGAGTTTGAGGCCAGCCTGGGTTACATGTAGTAAGACCCTGTCTAAAAAAATTCCGTTAAATTGGGGGGTGGGGGGAGTGTACATGGCACTTTTCTTTGCAGAAGCACTCAGAGCCCTTAGGATCACATCTTACCAGTCCAGGAAGAAAAAGAAGTTTGTTTATGGAAT